TATAATATAAATTACGTTTTCTTTGTCTTGCTTTAATGTATGTTGTATTAAATGACCTTGACGTAATTATATAGTGCTATATTAATGACATTAATACATATCATAATTTAGATTACACATTGTTAACTTACAACGGAAGACTGCAACAAACCAGCAGTCGTGGATTCGAATAGATTTGAGGCAACAAAAACTGGTCATAAATCAGATTGAACTTTATTTTATTTATTTATTAATAAATAAATAATTTATAAATAAATATAAATAAATAAATATGAACTTTGTTAATCATATTCATATTAAATTCATCAGATGACATATAAGATAGTAAAAATTAAAGTACGTCAAAGCTACGTAAAAATCGTGAAATTGAACCAACAATGGTGGAAGGAAATAACATCTGTTACACAGGGACTCCCTACAGACATTACTGGGAATGACAGGGAATGCATAAGTGATATTACGATCCTAGATCGAATCGAAACGATCCGCAGAAAAATCAATGTATAGCTGATATCATCATAGTCCTATATGATGATATCAGCTATACATTGATGTTTCTGCGAACTAGTATTGTACTCTCCGTAAATGACTAAATATACAGGTATGTAGCTTTAAAGATATCTCTATCCCTTTAAATGGGAACACAGTGTGTATTCTAAAGGATAATAGCATATATAGATAAAATATAGACATCTTGTTAGGGGCCGTACAAGTATTACGTAAGCACTATAGGGGGGCGGGGGGTCTTTTCTTTGCTTATTTTGGATGACATGGGGGTGGGGGAGTCTGTATGATGATTACGTCATCGGTCGTAATTTACTTTTTTACACGAATGGCAACCCTCACATTGTCTTTGCTAAAAAAACAATACATTAATTGAGAGATGTTTACGTAAGCATGGGGGGAGGGGGTAAGAGCTTTGCTTACTTTTGCTGACAAGGCGGATGGGGGGTAAATAATTGTGATAAATCTGCTTACGTAATACTTGAACAGCCCCTTACGGCCTATAAATTAATGACATTGTGTAAAAAAAAATTAATAAACATATGTAAATATGCAATGTATGGTGCGTAGTCATTCTGTTTAATTTTCTTGTGTTTAGTATTAATTATTGATCATATAATTACATTGTTTACCACCGACTCAACTTCGCACGGGTGTATTACAAATCTATTGCTGAAAACTGTATTAAAATAAGTTGAGTACTTTAAAAGATCTAAGCGAACAGATCGCAAAAGCGACTTTATTTTAAACTATTAAGGCTTGTTTTAGAAAACCATTGCCTAAACCGTTTATCACCAAGATTGTAGTTATCTTCAGCTGGTTTGTTCTGTAAATGAAGTCTATTAACTGTATAATAATAAATTAACTGGTTATTTATAAATATATTGTTGAGATTACGTTGCTATGAGCACTTGATTATTTCCTAATATTTATTCTCATATTTTCATTATAGATAGACTTGTATAACGTTTGATATTATGTGTAAAGTGATCACTGCCATTTGTAATTTTATACAATTTATATAAAACTTTATTGAATGCAATAAACTATATTTATCGTGATAACATATGTTTTTTATTTTCGTATTACCTTCCTCTTCATAATCAAGCATTGTGCAATAGAAATAATAATAATCTTTATTTCAAATAAACTTACATGAATGTGGATGGATGTAAAGGGAGGGGACGCCCTAAGAAAAGATGGATGGATTGTGTGAAAGATGATATGTATAAAAGAAGAGTATGTTTAGATATGACGACTGATAGAGAGCAGTGGAAGAGAATGACATACTGCGCCGACCCCAAATAATGGGATAAAGGCAAGGCAATGATGATTCAAATAAACTTACATAATATAAGCACTTTGGAATAGTCCAATTTTTTTATTCTACCCCTCATTCGGAATTCATACTCATCACAAGAAGAATGATTGTTCGCGCCATTTATAAACATATCAAGTGGTATGGTATTATTCCCCATATCCTAATCCCTTTCCCGCGCACAGTATGTCAACTGAGGTCGCCCGACCACCTCGTCTACTAACGTGAATGGTGACATCTCGTCCCAACCGCTCCGCTTTAAATTAATTGAGACCCTTGGTCCGTGGGGTCCTAGCGCTATAAGACTTTTCAAAGAAATAACGAAAAGGTTAGTCGACATCACAGAAGACCGAAGAGCTGGCAGCTATCTTGGACAAAGAATTAGTCTAGCTATTCAAAGAGGGAACGCTGCCAGTATCTTCGGAACGTTGCCTAAAGGGACCCCTTTTAATAATATATTTTAGTCATCATATTATTATTTTTTTTAGGCTTTTTAATTTTAGGTTCTTAGTTGTACAATTAGGTTATGTAAATACTAGTAATAAATTTTAAAATCTTTATTTAAATAAAATTATATTTTATACTATTAAATGATAAATACGAAGTAATATAATATATTGACATTAAAAATAAGTAACTTTGTGAGCGTGCCTTGTTAAACTTAGTATTCATGTGCAGCAGCTGTACAAGAATATTGCACCCCTTTATTTCATTCCATACAGTCCACTTACCTTATCCCGCTACCCCCCATTTCTCCAATGAGCAAGAAACTTGTGTGTAGCTCTTTTGAATAAATATTGTTTTAATTAAATTTTTATTTAATTATATTACCAGTATTACGTTATGCGACAAGCAACATAGAAGCCGCTACGCACTTAATCTTCATACTTCATACTTCATTCTTATAGCCCAAGAGCCCACGACTGCCAGACATACGTCATTTTAATAAACGTGAAAGTTCTTGTATGTGTGTCCCCAACACAGGTAAGAACGATCCCCAAATATGAAATCTGGATTGTGGTTCCTTTGGCAGGTACCAGGTAACAAAGGTGTAAAAAATCATATCAAATTCGTTATTTTAAGAAACTCCATATTTTCATATGTTGTTCGTAGCATTATTACAACTTGCGCTGCTCATTTACGTCATTTTAATAAAGCTGAACTTTATATATATTATTGAGAGTTAAAAATTTAAACTATACTATTTTATAAATAAACTTACGTCATTTTAATAAATGAAATTTATATATATTAATATTTTGAGTTTCCTAAATTGCCAGACAGTTTTCTTGGTTCCTTATCAGACTCAAACCGTATATTGGGTAACAACGGTGTATACAGTTTCATATCAAATAAATTGCTCGTAATACGTTGCCAGTAATAAATTTTAGCAGTTTTTAAAACGGTGTATACAATTTCATATCAAATTCGTTATTTTAAGATGTTCCTTTTTTTCGCATATTGCTGTAACAGTATTATAACTTGCTCTGCTCTTTGTCGAACCAAGAAAACTGTCTGGCAATTTAGGAAACTCAGTTTAATAGAGATTAGCTTTATTAAAATAATAATACTGTTACGAACAATATGTGAAAAAATGGAGCATCTTAAAATAACGAATTTGATTGAAATTGTGTTGTTACTTAATTGTATAATATACGGTTTCAATTAAGTCTGGTAGATAAGGAACCAAGAATAAATATATTGGACATTAAAAATACTCAGTTTGAGAGCAATTTAGGAAACTCAGTTTGAACTCTCAATAATATATATAAATTTCAGCTTTATTAAAATGTCGTAAGTTTATTTATAAATATAGTATAGTTTAGGGGGGTCCGGCGGGGGTTGGAACCACACTAAGGATCTGGCAACGAGCAGAGCAAGTTATAATACTGTTACGAGCAATATGTGAAAAAATGGAGCATCTTAAAATACGAATTTGATATGAAATTGTATACACCGTTGCAATATACGGTTTCTAGGGTAAGGAACCAAGAAAACTCAGTTTGAGAGAACTCTCAATAATATATATAAACCAGCTTTATTAAAATGACGTAAGTTTATTTATAAAATAGTATAGTTTAGGGGAGTCCGGCGGAGGGTTGGAACCACACTAAGGGTCTGGCAATGAGCAGATCAAGTTATAATACTGTTACGAGCAATATGTGAAAAAATGGTACACACCGTTGTTACCCAATATACGGTTTTAATGATTCTGGTAGGATCATTTAGGAAACTCAGTTTAATAGTTCTCTCAATAATATATATAAATTTCAGCTTTATTAAAATGACGTAAGTTTATTTATAAAATAGTATAGTTTAGGGGGGTCCGGCGGGGGGTTGGAACCACACTAAGAGTCTGGAAATGAGCAGAGCAAGTTATAATACTGTTGCAATATGTGTGGAGCATCTTAAAATAACGAATGATTGAAATTGTATACACCGTTGTTACCCAATATACGGTTTTGAACTGTCTGGCAATTTAGGAAATTCAGTTTTTAATATATATAAGCTTTATTAAAATTATATTGGAACCACCAGTATGAGCAGCGCAAGTTATAATAATGCTACGAACAACATATGAAAATATAGTTTCTTAAAATAACGAATTTGATATGAATTTTTTTACACCTTTGTTACCTGGTTGCCAAAGGAACCACGATCCAGGTTTCATATTTGGGGATCGTTCTTACCTGTGTTGGGGACACACATACAAGAACTTTCACGTTTACTAAAATGACGTATGTCTGGCATTCTTACGTTCAATCAGATAACATTATCAGCTCTATAAATTTTAAGTTAGATATTTGTTATAAAACATTATTATCATTTATAAATTCTTCAATGTTATAATAAGCTTTTTTTACAAAGAAGCTATTTTATAAGTCATTTGAATCTTTTTTCTGGCAAATTGAGTATAGACTCTGGCAGTTTGTTGAATAACCTGTGTCTGGATTAGAGACATATATTCCTATAGTACACTTACTACACTATTTGAATGGGATTTGGAGATGGATAACATGTCCATCTGTCGCGCTATTCCTGTCGACAGACAGGACTTACATTATCCATTACCATAAGGTCACTATAACTTATATAATAAACTAGTTAGTGTAGTTTATCATATAAATTATATAAAAAAAGAAAATTATTTGTCAAAATTTTATAATAATTTATTCCTTTTACCTAATTACAAATATTAAAACTAAAATACTTATCAAAAGTCTAAGATAGGATTGTCTTAAGATAATTCAATAACGATAAACTTATACATGAGGCAAGTAGATAATTTAATGATGTGACGAATATTTAATATAAGTAGATTTTAACTATTAACATCTATAACAATAGTTACTTAGTAACGATTTTTTTTCAATGTATAAGCTTTATCGGTACTATTTCGATTTGAGATCACTGCTGTGGATTTATATTTTGTCCCTCCAGATAAATCATCGTTATTACATTCCACATTCAACACTTATTTACCTAACATACTACAAACACACGCTCACTTAACACATAACTGTACAATAAATGCGTTTTAAATATTACATAGTCAGGCATGCACGGCAATGGACAAAAATATACAACTCAAATGTTAATGCAACAAGAACCGAAACATCTGAATTTAAAACTCCATTAGCTGCCACTACGCATGCTCTCTCATGCGCCAATAGGCTTTTACGCAAGAAAGAATGTACATGTAAATATAGAACCAGAACGAGAGAGTCTCGACTCGTGCAATCTTACGTTCTTCAATCGTGTGTGCATTAGCGGTTTCTTTTTTAACTTATCTTTTCAAAATCTCTTTATTCATGTAGGTAATTGTAATGTAGATCATTCATTTCATCTATTACAGACTGTTATGATATGTCAAATTACCGTCAGTTCGAAATGATTTAGAGGTGAGAAGAACTGACAAGAAACTCAGCTCAACTATATGTATATTATTTAGATATGCAAAATGGCGGATATCTGACTATGGGAAAAAGGAAATCATAAAGTTATTGATGCAAATTTGAAACGTGTCACTGGAAAATAAAATATGCATTATAAAAATTAAAGTTTTAAAAGTAAATGTAATGATATGAATCATACGCCGAAACATGAATGAAAGGGTGAAAACATGCGTGAACAATGCGAAAGGATGAATGCAATGCCTCACTGTTCTGCGCGTCAGCTTTCTTATCCTTTAGGATGTAAAAAGAATATGTCGTGTAAAAGCAACTAATGTTCATCAGTTATTGTTGCAGTGCCAAATGTTTCTTCTCTTTCAACAGTTGAGTGGCTTACACTGAACACCTAGCTCTGTACACCAGCATTCTTGACATGGCGTCGATAACTCTGCTATGATCCTTCCCACGCGGTACATTCTCCCATAAATATTACAGCCAGCCAATTTTAATCCCGGTCCTACTGGCAAAAGGTTAGGCGCATGTGGTCTAGAAATTTCCGCAGATTCCGGTGTATACTGAACAGATGGCTGTTCTTTTTTACGTGTACTAGTTTCCATGTATCTTGTCGTAATAGGCCTCGGCGTGGTCGATCTTCTGTTTACAGGCTTGAGTGGCTTAAATGTCGGCTGAAAAGAGACAGTGGCAGGGCGCGATGTTGTTCTTTTAATAGCTGTTGCCTCTCCAAGAACTAAATGATCAATTCTATTAACTGTGTTTAGAGGAAACGATTTCTTTGGTGGTACATACGGAATATGTGGTGGCATTGGAATGAATGGAGCTAAAGTAGGTTTCGTTGATACGCGTTTTGTAGTAGTTGTTAACGGTGTTGTCGTTGATACTTTTTGCGTGGTATAAGTACTTATTTGTACACTTACAGGCTTCTTCGTGTGCTGCGCAACTGTAGTTGTTTCGTAGCTATCGCTCAACAAGAGTTTTAAAACGCTGCCAAATGAAAATCCTTCGTCATCTTCTTCTTCGTCTTCATATTCTTGCGAACTAGTTTTAGTGTTATTCAACTCTTTATGTATATTCGTTATCGTTGTTATCGTATTTGAATCAGTAGGCAATTTTTCTAATGGTGTCGAAGAAATTGTGGTGGTTGTTAAGTGGAATTTTACTGTCTCATTCTTTGCAATTGGCACTTTATTGACAACATCCGTGGGTATTGAATCGATTTCAGGTATACTAGTACTATTATCTGCTATCTGTGTGATATGATTTGGAAAAGTTAAAGTTCCATTCGGCTCCGTATTGTTTTGAAGCGATGTATCGCTATTGTTAAGGTTACTCCCTTCAATTATGTTTATGTTTGACGATATATTGGTTATTGGTGTTGTTAAGACGTTGTTATCTAAAAAAGAATTTATGTTATTTAGTAGACCGTACCATTATATTTATATAAAAAAAATAGGAATTACGATATATAGAAATATTTACCCTTATTACAAATTAATTCGCCGCAACATAGATCTGCATTATTAGTAACAGCAGGCTTCCTTTTACACCCTGGAGGAGTTAAACATGGTCGCGGAGAACAATTCAGTTCTCCCCAGGAGCAGGTACATATAGAACATGCCAAAGATATTGAATTCCCTTCTGGTATATGACGACCATCTCCAGATATACATTCACCTATAATAAAATAAAATATTAGCATACATGTACTTTAATGATAGTGTTTATGTCTTTCTGGATCAAAGGTACCTCTATTAATATCTATCTGCA